TATATAAGTAGGAATCAATATATACATAACCTAGCTAGTTTTAATGCTACAAAAAGTATTGAAACAAAGTCAAAACTACAAAAACTGAGTTACTTAAAACGTAAAAAGTTTTATCTCTATTTTGGCAAATCGGTGTAATTATGTTAGTCTGAGCATGTGGGTTATCATAATTTAAATCATAAGTATAATCTGGATGGGAATAACCTTAACAGTATTATTAAAAATAGGGATCTTGATGTATTGGTTGATCAGTTTCTTAGGCCATCTCTTGTGCTGTTTCTAGTGGTATGGCAAATTGGATTTTAGGATGAATTTATAGAAATATTGAATACACGGCTATAGAGGTTATAATTTCATTGTATAGGTCGCTGGTTAGGCCACATTTGGGAGTATTGTATTTAGTCTCGGGCTCCTTACCTTAGGAAGGACATTGAATTGTTTGAAATGGTTCAGATGAGGGCTACTAGAATGATGCCTGGGATGGAGGGTTGTAATATGAGGAGAGGTTGAGATCTATGAAATTGTTTTCTCTTGAAAAAAAAGAAGAGTTAGAGGGGATTGAATTGAGGTGTTTAAAGATTGTTAAAAGAATTGATAGTGTTGATGCATCAGCTTTTTTCATACTTAATGGTGAGAATGGTAGGATGAGGGGACACAGATATAAATTTTGGCAGGGTAGGAGTCATCTTCACCTAAAATAGTTTTATTTTTCTAACAGGTGATTGGCCTTTGGAATGGGTCACCTTCTGATGTTGTGGAGGCAGTAAATTTAAATTAGTTTAAGAGAAAGCTTGATAACTACATGAATTATCAGAGCTGGCTTTCAATTTTTTATTATTATTTGATAGTTTTAGTTTAGTTTAGTAGATGGGACAACCTAGATGGACCAGTTGGTCCTTTGTTATCTATAAACATTATGTTGTTATGTGAAGTTTATATCTATTATTTAATATTAAAGCACCCATCAAATATATGTTACTGTCAGAATGTTTCTACATTCACATCCACTTTTAGATGGCAGTATTTGTATAGCTTGTCTTATCTGATCTTAATTGTAAGAGTAATGTGATTTGTTTGTTTTTTCCTGCTTTTCTCATCCTGGAAATTTTGAACTCCTTGCTGCATTTCTGATAGGGAGAAAGTAACTGTCGATGTAGAGATGAGTTAATTATTTAAATACATGCGTTATTGGGCCAGGCTACAGATCAAAATGCAACATGCTATTGAACATGCTTGGCACTTTCAGGTATGGGAGGTCATAAAAGTGACAGTTAATCCCACTATTCAGCTAAGACTAGCAGTGTTGGAAGCTGGTGCTGTTAATTCTGGTCAGCTGTTCTGAATTATGGATGACTATACCTGAACCTTGAGGTCTCTGACCTGGCTATTTAAACATGTGCAGGTTGAAAATACCAAATACCATATTCTATCAGTGAAGTATATTTCAAAAAAACTTATACATTACATTTTCAAACCCTTTGTTTTTAAACACAAGAGCATGACTGAAATTCACTTTAAGGATAAGGTAGCCCAAATATAAATAGTTATCTATGCTGAAGACATGAAATAGCACATGTGTAAGTGATTGTGACACAGAAAAAATACTCTAACTTATATAAATAGAATGAATGATAAAAATATAACTAGTTTTATATATCTTATGAGTTAGAGTTTAATGTAATGTTTTACTGCTAAAAGATTCTTGACTTTGTGTGTTATCTAGGATTGAAGTACTTTATGTCAATTTGAAAACTTTGAAACAAATATTTTTCATTTATAAACAAAATATTTTAATTTATAAAACTTCAGCTTTATTCCTCTTTTAGTGATACCAGAGCTGTCACATTTGTTTCAAAATATATAATATAAAATTTAAAAGTAAAATATTGCATAAATGAAAAACTGTTTTTAATTCCCAAATTCTCAAATTTTAATTCATGCATCTACAATCTGCACAATTTTTTAACCAAAAATATTTTAAATGTTTTTGGTACTCTTCAAAGCTCTAATGAAACGCGTATTTTAAGTAGAATACTAAAAATGTGCTAAATAAACAATACTTGTGGTTTTCATCATTCACTTTACTGAAATACATACACAGCTCATTATCAAGGATGGTAATATATAATAAAAGTAGTATTAGGAAAGCTTACAAATTATTACCAGTCTCTTAGATGTCAGTGATATGATTATTGTAATATTTATTGCAGGAAGTAACCGAGGAATTAAAAAATCATGGTTTTGAATTTTAGTTTCTTAAATTTCTTATTTTCTCAGTGTGAAATCCTGTTAAGAAGAATCTCAACTCTAGTTCCACCACAAGAAGATCCCTCAAATAACGTTGACAAAGTGGTGGCATATATAGAAGGTGGTACAGATCGTTATCCCTCCTTCCACACAGATAAACCACTTGGGTAGGCATTTCTTCTCGAACAGTTAAGCACTTAAGTTGATTCCTTGCCTTTTTGCTTGGGTGGTATTCTTCTATATCTTTTAATCATTTGCCTCACTAATTTTCTAAAATGGCAAGCATATCTTCAGAAGTGAACATAAGTATTAATTTTTTAGTTACACCATTTCTATGATTGCATTTGGCAAAATATATTATGAAATATACAATTATTAATTCTTTAATAGTTGCTATTAAATACTCTAATATTTATAATGTTGCATTTAATCTGATGTTTGGTCATTATTTGATAATTTAGTATAGTATTTGACTTCTGTTATTTTGCAGTAAGTAATAATAGAAAATGGTGATGGTGGAGTAATAGCATGAAAAGGTACTGTGCTAATATTCTTGAATAAAAATGATACCAATAGCTGAGTGAAATTGTTCAGGAATTATGCTTCTTTTCATTTCCAAAACAGTGTTGTCAAGGAGATCTACTACTTGCTTGGAGATTACTATTTCAAAAACAAGGAGTTTGGGTATGTAGTATTCATTAAAAGTGGATAACAAAGATTGAGCATTATGAATAATATCTACTTATTTTAGCTAAGATCACATGGGCTGGTCGATCAGAAAAACAACTCTTATGGTAGCTTTGCAGAACCTCTTGAACATTTCTAAATATACTTCTTGATGGTTAGCCATATGGCTTCATTTTAATTTATGTTATATGTATATATGTTTGTAGATTTTAATCTCTGGTTTATTGATCTGTAATACTAAGTATTATTACTCAGTTTGTAAGACTGGATTGTTTTAATTTTTTTACATTTAAATTATTTTACTTCTGAGCTATATAATCCGTTTATCACGAATTGTCGTAGTGGTTCATAACAGGGATTGTCCATTTGTTGTTCTTTATTATTATTTAATATTGTTCCACCAGCCTACAGCAAAAAATGGCTGCGAGTATTGTAATAAAGCCTGGACAAAATTATTTGTGCATTGTGTAGGGTAGTTTTAAGTTTATTTGACTACATAGCAAGTAACAGTGGCTGTATAACCATTGACATCCAATTGTTTTAATGTAGCCTGTAATTTATATGGAGCCTAATAATCTAATATACATGCATATGTATATAGGTACATCCAGGCCATGGGTGTAATTTAATGTTTATTTAGCAGGCATGACTCGTGTACCATAGCAATTATTAACTTATTGTTACAACTGTATTGATGTTGCATATCATTTATATATGTATTGGGTTCCTGCACTTTCAAACACAATGCTGCTGACAGAATAACAGTTTTTTTACCACTGCATGATTGAGTTGGTCCATGTTATACAATTGTCTAAAACATCACACAAAAGTCTAAAACACTTTACTAACATTTAGGCTGTCACCCACAACAGAATCTTTAAGCCAAAATTTAAAAGATAAGACCAAACTCAGTTTTGAGCATCAGCTCAGCAATCATGATGATGGTAAGTATTGAATTATAGCCAACACTATGTAATTGCAAATTTTATAGATACTCCAGATAGAGTAGCCATCCTTGAAGATGAGTATAAGGAGTGGCGAGAATCGTGCAAACAGGAGATGGCAAAAATTATGGCAATTCTAGGTGACAATGAGGCAGAAACTTTGTAAATATATATTTTATTTTGAAAATATTTAGTTTCAGAAAGCAACAGCTCACCAGAATTTAGGATCGTCACAGTGGAAGAGGGTCCTAGAAGTTTCACAACCCAAATTCCATCAAAAATAGAGGGGATAAAGGTATACTGATATAATAAATTCATAATTGATAATTAACACGTTTTCAACCTTGTAGAGTGTGAAGAATATCACTCTAAGAGGAAATTGGGCCAACTGCAGCAAAACCATAACTGGCCAGCAAAGAGGAGGAGGCGTAAGGGGGAAACATAACAACTATAAGAAATATTTAAAATGCTTCTTTGTATACATATGCTATTATATATGTATCTATACAACTTAAAAACTTCATATGGCTATCTGTATGTGTACGGCTTTACAACTTAAAGAAACTGTAAAGCTTGCATGTGTATATTGATAGATAGGTAGACAGATATAGATATAAATACTAGCCAACATGCATTGCACGTGCATGCATGTATAAAATTCCTGCAGTTACAAAATTCAGTCCATGTACAATTTCAGTACAGTTCAGTAGTCCCTCCAATCCAATGTTTACAGACTCCCCATATAGCTACATGGTATAAATATAGTAGCTGTATATATTTTACAAGTATATACATAACATGTAGTATGTTGAGCACCATACATCATTGTTAATCTAAAAAGGAGGAATATGGATCTTCAAAAAATGCAGAAACAAGAATGGTAGCATAAAGTGAAAATGCAATTACCAAAAAAGTAAACAAACAAGCTTAAGATTTGAGACATATAGTTGACATTACTTCCTCAAGCTAAAAATCCCTATTTTGACTCTATTTTGATATTACAGCTTTTTAGACATTGAGTCAGATTATTAATTTGTAGCTTGAGGAAATAATGTCAACACAATGTCTCAAACTTTAAGCTTGTTTGTTTACTTTTTTGGTAATTGCATTTTCA